TTTGCTGTCTATCATTTTATAGTCTAGAAACTTGGCAACCACGAACTTCTTCAAGCATGCATCTTCTGTCTTGTACTTCTTCTCAAGTGCGTCCCATAATTCTTTCGAAGTATTCATTGCACTGTACACATTGTACAAGTCATCCTCTAAAGCACTTAAGATATAGCCTTTGCAAAGAAAATCTGTCTGCTTCCACGCCTCAAACACCATGAACTTTTCATAGTCCGACATGTCCGCAGCAGGCACTGGAGGCTCTTCACTAGTGAATTTCAGCATACCAAGTGTGGTAAGCTAGAAGAACACCCTGTGCTGCCATCCTTTGAAGTTGGTTCCAGAAAATTTTCCCGGTTTCTCAGCCGGAGGAACAGCAGTGCGGCTTGACGAGGCTATCGTCGTTGCACCAACAGTCGCAGAAGGATTTCCGTTTTCATTTTCCATTTCTTACTGTCAACAACAGAAGAGATCAATTGATGGCAAAATCAGAACAGTAAATAATACTGTAGTCAATAAACAGTACGTAATAAAAACAACTGAAGTTTTTATATACTGTTTTACAGAAAAACGATGAAGTTTTATGTTCTTCAAATCGTTTTCTGAATTTCAATACTCTGATGAAGTTTTTATATCTTCAAATTAGAATAGTAAAATTCAGACAGAATACAGAATATAATAAATATAATTTCCTTAAGATTGTTATATATCTGTATTGCTGTAAATAAATTAAATAATAATCTTTCTTAAAATAGAAATAGAAAGTTAGTAGAAATTAAATTCCGAACAGTAAACTTCTTCAAAATAAATTCTGAAAACGGCATAGGAACAAATCGATCCCACTGAATACACAGTGTGTCCTTAAAGAAATTATTTCCCTTAAGTACCCGAGGTTCTGGAATATATCCTCCAAGGATAGAATGATTTAACTCACCGGAGTGTTGGTACCAAGAACGCCGATGAACAGCGAACCACTCGAAGGCTGCAAAACACACTGGAATATTTTGTGCAGAAGAAGAAGAAGATTATCAGAAAATTTCGTAAGTAAATATTTTGGGATTTGAAGGAATAATTATAGCCAATTTGGTACTGTTTCTGAAAAGGTTTGCAACCTTTCAGAATAGCCATGGCTGTTGGAACAGGTGTGACACTGTTTCAGAACAGCCATGGCTGTTGGAAATTTTGCGGGAAATTAAAAATGGATTTAAAATAATCCGGGACAGAAAAACGGGCCGGACCGGACCGGGTCGCGAGTCATGGGTTATTCCGGATTGAATTTTCTTTAATTAATTTAATTAATTAATTAAATATTTGAAAAGAATTTTGTCCAAAAATATTAATCCGAATCCGAAACCGAAACCGAAGCCGAATCCGAAGCCGAGCCGAGCCGAGCGAGCGAGCGACGACGACGGCGCGAGGCTTGCCTTCTTCTTAGCTCTTTAAGAGCAAAAAGATGAGCTTCTCTTTATATACACAAAGATTTTCTTTCCTTTTACCAATGAGGGACAAAGTGCATTAGTGAACTCATTCAAAATTTCACTTCCCTCCATTTCTTTTTCCCACCATTTTCCATTCACATTTCTTTTGTTATTAAACAACAAAATCCAACAGTTCCTTCAGTAATGTTGTTATCCAAACAACTTCAAAAACTGCACTTGCCATGCTCCTGTATTCAGCTTCAACTGAGCTTTTTGAAACTGTGTTTTGCTTTTTTGACTTCCATGAAACTAGTGATTCTCCAAGCTTGATTAGGTATCCTGATACTGACTTTCTAGTGTTAGGACATGAGGCCCAATCAGCATCACAGAAAATATTGATTTTACTTGAATTTTGACTGCTCAGTAGGATCCCCAGTCCTGGTTCCCTTTTAATATATTTCAGTACTCTTATGGCTACATCCCAATGAGACTTCTTTGGCTGCTGCACAAATTGGCTGAGGGTTTGTACTGAGAATGCAATATCTGGCCTGGACATAGTCAAGTACAATAACTTCCCAATAAGCTTCTGATATTGGCCTACATCTGCCAACATTTGATCTTCTGTTGTGCCCATCAGCTTGTCCAGTTCTGGAACTGTCAGCTTGACATTTGTCTCTAGTGGTGTCCAGGCTGGTTTTGCTCCACTTAGTCCCATGTATGAAATTATTTCCAATGCATACTTTCTCTGATTGATCAGAATACCCTTGTTGGATCTGCTGAACTCCATGCCAAGAAAAAACTTTAGTTCTCCCAAGTGTTTGATCTTAAAATCCTGCTGCAAGAAGGCTTTGGTAGCTTCAATCAGCTTTAAATTGTTACCTGTAACCAACATGTCATCCACATATATTAGTATCACCACTATATCTGCTCCTTTCTTTTTTATGAATAATGAATGATCTAAACAGCTTTGCTTGAACTCAGCCTGCACCAGTGCCTCTGTTAGCTTTAAGTTCCATTGTTTGCTTACCTGTTTTACACCATATAGAGATTTTACAAGTTGACAAACCAAACCAGACTCCCCCTAACTTGTAAAACCCTATGGTAGATGCATATAGACCTCATCATGTAAGTCTCCTTGCAAGAAGGCATTGTAGACATCCAACTGTTGCACTGGCCAATTATGCATAGCCACCAAGGAGAGGACTGTCCTCACAATAGTGATTTTCACTACAGGTGAGAAGGTCTCATTGTAGTCAAGGCCCTCTCTATGATTGTACCCTTTGGCTACCAACCTTGCCTTGAATCTTTCCACATCACCATTGGCCTTAAGCTTGACTTTGTAGACCCATTTACAACCTATAGTTGTTTTCCCATGAGGCAGTGGAACCAGTTCCCAAGTGTTGTTGGCCTGCAGTGCTTGAATTTCAGTCTGCATAGCTTCTACCCATCTTGGATCTTAAGAAGCTTCCTGAAAAGTTCTAGGCTCAACAACTGAGGAAAATATACCCAAGTATTCCTGATAAGAAGTGGAGAGATTAGCATATGTAACATAATTGTGGATAGGGTATAAGGCGGTGTTGTCTGCCTTCCTTGTGGTTACATAATCTGTCAACCAGACTAGTTCTTTAGGTTCCCTTAATGATCTTCTAAGAGTGTTAGGAGGTATGTGTTGCATGTGGATCGGGAATCTCTAAGGTCATGGCCTCTGAGTCTTGTACTTCAGTGGCATTGTGTTGATCTGCATCCTGCAACATGTTGTCCAAATATTGCAAATCTTGTGCAAAACTGTCTGAATCCTGTAAATCCTCTGCATGTTGTATAAGGTCTTTTGCATTACTATCAGAAACATCTAGTTGTTCTGTCCATGCAGCAGCAGGGCCATCTGTGTTTACATCTTCAAAACCACAACCATCATTAGTAGCACTAGGAATACAAGGCCTGATTTGGTCTCTAGGACCATCAGTTATATCCTGAAAAGGAAATATGGACTCCTTGAACACCACATCTCTATTAATAAAGAACTGGTCCTTATCCAAGTCATAGAGTATGTACCCTTTAGTGACACCAGAGTATCCCATAAACACATCTCTAACAGCTCTACTGGCAAACTTGTTTGTTCTGGGTAGTGCACTTACAAAGCAAAGACATCCTAATATTTTCAAATGAGAAATAAAAGGCTTCCTACCAAAGAACAGTTCATATGGTGACTTACCACTGAGTGCTTGTGATGGAAGCCTGTTAATAACATAAGCTGCAGCCAGAACACAATGGCCCCAAAACTTCATATGGATATGACCTTGAAATTTGAAGGCTCTTGCAACTTCAAAGAAGTGTCTATGCTTTCTATCTGCCACACCATTTTGTTGTGGTGTGTAAACACATGTTCTCTAGTGAACTATCCCCATAGATGTACATAAATCCTGCATAGCTGAGTTTACAAACTCTCCACCATCATCACTTCTACTTGTTTGTACTATTCCATTAAATTGTGTCTGTATCAGCTTAAGGAATGACCTAAAGACAATCATAACATCATTCTTAAATTGCAGGAGAAAGATCCAGGTTATGCGAGGGTAATCATCTACAACTGTGAGAAAGAACTTATTTCCATCAAAGGTTGGAACACTACAAGGTCCCCATACATCTAATGCAGCAATTGAAAGATTTTAGTAGTTCTAGTACTACTCAATGGAAAAGACTGCCTCACATGTCTGTCCATTGGACAAATATTACAACTATCTATTACACACTTGTAATCCTCCAACTTATATCCCAGAAGTTCCTTCAAGGATCCTCCAGATGCATGTCCTAACCTTTTGTGCCATAGAGATATATCCTCCTTAGTTGTCTGAACATTCAACCCCTTGATTGTTGGTACATTGTTATCAGTGTTTAAGGAAGCTCTTGGTACTAGCAGATAGAGTCCATCTTTCTCTTTACCAATCCCCCTCACTTTCCCATTTGAGAGGTCCTGGAACAAGAAACAGTCAGGATAGAAAGAGACAAAACAATGTAAGTCCCTTGTTATCTTTGATACTGAAAGAAGATTGTATGCAAATCTGGGACATACAATACATCTTGCATTTCCCCTGTTTCTGTGATTTTACAATTCCCAACATGTGACACAATTGTACACTCTCCATTAGGTAAATGAACTCTTTTGTCTCTAGTAGGACTAATATTCTTAATATTTGTTAACATCCTTAAATCTGCTACCATATGGTTTGTTGCTCCTGTATTAACTATCCAACTGCCTTTTGACATCTTAGCCAAAAAGGAATGAGTTGTACCTGCCATGTTTGACATCATATCCTTTGGAGTGTCTTTGTTGAGTAACTTCATAATCTAATCATATTGATCTGATGTGAGTTGTGGTGCTCTTTGTCAATTTCCTTCCTTTATTGCTTCTGGTATCTCTCATCTTCTATCATCAACACTTGCAAGGTTAGGATTAAAATTTTCAACCCGGACATTATATGCAGTCTTTGTGTTCCCTTTCTTCTTATTTTTGAAGTCTTGAGGATAACCAATTATCTTGTAGCATCCCTCTTTTGTATGACCTTTCATGTGGCAAAAATCACATTGCACATTTCAGTTTCTCTTTTGTTTTTGATAATTCTGATAATTTCCTCCTTCACCAGCTAGCAGGGCAGCTAAGTCGACTTTTACACCCACAGTAGAAGTGTTAGCCACAAATCTTTGACTCTCCCTTTCAATAAGCATTGCATATGCCTTATTGATGCTTGGCGTTGGGCTAGTCATAAGAATTTGACTACGAGCCTGTTCATAATTGTCGTTTAGACCCATTAGGAACTTCAACACCTTCTGCTTTTCCATAAACTCAATGAAATTCTTCGATCTAGCACATCCACACGGAGGAGGAACCATGCTATCAAATTCATCCCACAGATTTCTGAGTTTGGAAAAATACACTGAGATACTGTCTGTTCCTTGACTTATCATTGCTATGGCCTTTTGCAATTGATAGACTCGCGATGTGTTTACCTTATCGAATCGTTCTTTCAGATCTTCCTACACCTTTCTCGCATCCCTCGCATATAGTATCCCAGTAATCAATTCTCTTGATACTGAGCTCATGATCCACCCTGGGACAATTGCATTGCACCTATCCCATTGATAACCTAGTTCTGCACTATAATCCCCCTTTTTTAGAGTGCCGTCGATTAAACCTAGTTTGTTCTTTCCTAACAGCTGGATCTCCATCGCATGACTCCAGTTGGAGTAATTTTCTGAACCAGTCAACTGAATCGAGATAATCGGAGCTCCGGTGGTGTCCGATGGGTGAAGAAATAGAGGGTGATTGTGGCCGAGATCTGTTTTTGCCGCCATTGTTGACTCTTCCTCTCAAGTTGTGATTTAAGGTTGAGATTACTTTGAATTCAACAGGATCTTCAGATTCGATTCGCAATCGCGATCTGGAGCTCTAATACCATGAAGATTTACGTGAATCAAATGAAGAACATCAGCTAAACAGAATTGAGAGAACAGAGGAAGAAAGAGCTTTGCTCTGTATTTCTGAAATTAACGAAGAAGAGAATTATTGTTACATTGCCTAACTAATTCTCTATATACACATCACCTTCTAACTAACATACTAACTCACACGTGTACAAAATATATATCCGATTTAACAAAATGTAATAACAAATATTCTACTCCTATTCTATTTCATGTAATCCCCATTTCATCAATAAAAAGAGTGGACCATTTGGCGCACTAGCCATGAAAACATGTCTTGGACATGAAAAGAAATCTATCTATAAATTAAAGTTGCATATTCTAGTCAGACTCCTTTTCAAATTTTGATTGTTATAATTTCCACGATCTTCTCTGTTGCTAGATTCCTCATCTTCTTTTCCACCTTTTCTCCCTTTTTCGGCTTTTTGCTTTCTCTCTTTTCTCGCCACCTTTTGCCCAGCCTAGGGATTACGGATTACATCTTTGCACTGCTTCATTTTCATGGCAAAACAATAGTCTTTTAGCCCGGCCTAATTAATATAGACATGTATGCAGGAACGTTAAGTGGGTGTTTGAACATAAAAATTGTGAAATTCCGGAAATAAGTAAAAAAAAAAAAAAAAAAAAAAAAAAAAAAAAAATCAAGTTGAAATATCTATTCATGAGCTATGAGGAAAATACTAGCTGAAAGAATTTGTGTTCAATATGAATTCATAAATTATGGGAATAATTGCATAGAAAGGAAAAGCGTGTGAAGGAGTTTTTTTTAAGGAAAGCAAATAAAATCCTTTTAAGATTTGTTTTCTTTAAGAGTTGACCAAATTAGTTTAGGTTTTGGAGCTAAACTTAGAAAATGATCTCGTCCAGCAACTATTTAAAGCATCATATTGCTGATGTTCAAGGTTACCACTGTTTCGCACAAACATAAAATCACTCAAGGCAAATAGTATTCATAGCAAGAGGTGCTTTCAAAGATTCAAGTTAGAACCTGTTCCGGAAGATAAAGTTGTTGAAGTTTTTTAGTTGTTTGAGGTTGAGTCAACTGTTCTTAAATTGCAATCTAGTCTGCTTATTGACAAGTGTAATTGTAGATGACTAATTCTTGAAAGTTTGTTTCACTTCTAGGCTACAGTTTATAGTCTCGAAAGGGTTAGCTATAATTGGGTTTGGTTAACTGTTGTAACCTAAAATCGCTATCTTGAAGTTACTGAGTTTTGAAGTAATTAATGGTTTTTAATTACTCCTTTGAACAAGGAAGTTTTTCATGTAAAAATTATTATGTTGTTTATATTTTACACTTTCCTTTCTATTTGTATCTATAATTCTGAGGTTAAAAAACTAGGTTATTTAATACGCGAAATTAAATTAGGAGTTATACAATTCACTTTAATTCTTTTATATCTTGGTGCATCCTAAAATAACAAGGAATACTTTGGCCTACTAGCCTACATTTGATTACCGTTGTCTTTTTCAATTTCAAAGCCACCTCTCTCCCCCCCACAACCCCCCAAACACATTTTTTAGTTCCCTCCGAAGTTTCCATTATTACAGTAGTTGGCTAAAGAATAGCTGGAAATGAAAACTGTTTGCATTCAGCTACTAATTCCGTTACGAATTATTAACTAATTTTCTCGTTGAACTTCTAGTTCTTCCGAGATTCTTATCCATCTTAACTATCTATCTTTAGTACCAAAAAAAAAGAAAAAAAGAAAAACTCTTAATGACTCAATACGACTTCTAGAGTATAGGAACTAATATAGGCCGTGCAATATTGTTTAAGAGAACCTTGAGGTGGTATGTTTACGGTTGTGATTTTGGAGAATATACTATAAGAAGGTTGTATTAATAAAAAGAGTAAGAAAAATCCCATTTTCTTTCTGTATCACGAAATTAACAATATTCCTGACCTCAGTACTTACTGAGAATATAGAAAATTAATTACTCCATACCATTGGAATGGAGAAAAGACATTTTGCAAACTCAGGGTATTCTGTAATGGAAAATTATTACGATACTTATATTTCCTACGTATAGACTTGAGATTTCAAAGTATTACTACACCAAACTCCAAGCAGCAACGTCTTCGACAGTGGGAAAGTGACTTTTTCCTCTTCCCGCTCTTCCTCTGCATCGTTTTAGTTTCTTTTTTAATCTTTTGAACAGGTCAGATGAAACATTAAAGTAGGTAAGGAAAAGTACTAATTTGTCTAATTATTTTTTGAAGTTCAATCCTTAAAGAAATAAAGAGGGCCAAGATGCACTTTTAACACGATCACTGCCGCCTTCGTATTTCTTTTTTTCAAAATTTTCAAAAGTAAAGAGGACCCAAAAATCTGCTCTAGTTTTCCGTGCAAACCCCTATGCATATAAAGGTCCACGTGACTTTGTCTATTGCCCTTTATTCACCACCTATCGTAACTTGTGATGAAGGAATCTTACCTTTTACTCCCTTCCTTTCAATATATGCAAACCTATTTCAGTTTAGTCCGTGCCAAAAAGAATGACCTCTTCTTCATTTGAAAATAATTTACCTTTATGCAATAATTTATAATCACACAAAATATATGTGCATCATTTACACCACAAGTTCAAAGTATTCCCTCGTTTTTTAAATTTCGTACCTAGTCAAATGAATTCATATAAATTAAAATAGAGGGAGTAATAATTGTTATTAGTGTACGTCTTTATGTTTGATCTTAATATCCAGACATACTATTTACCTTTAGTCGTCGAGAGTAATTAATTAAATTAGTACTTAAGCAATGATTAAAGTAATTAAGATGGTGAATCTTAGTTGGGTTGTCATATCTTGCCGCGCACAAGGTGGGAACAGGAATATGGAGTGCTTATGAGTTATGTCCCCTTGATCGAGCATGTTAATACCAAATTATACGAACATAATAAACTACAGTTGGAGATGAATCAAATGATTTCGTAGTGAGAATAATATTTTCCTATTCCATAACAAGACGATATCAAGATCTCTGACATTTTACACTCTATTATTCAGTGGAGAAGATGGATGGTAATTATTTAGGGTCTGAATTCTGATTAGTACATTCTCTATGTAAAGGGGGATTTGAAATATTAAATTATCTAGTGTATAGTACCACAAGATTCATTACTTATGAATTTAAAGGTGTCATTTTTAGTAACTATATAAGTATATACGTATGTATCAATATATACATAGATAACAAATTTTTTAGTAACTATACATATACAGTTTAGAGGAGTCTCGTATTCAATGCATGCGCATAATGTGTATTTTTCTCTAAATCTAGTTCCAAATGTTACATGTATAATTTCTGTTTAAAAATCAAGCGTCCAAATGTGCATGAAATAATGAGCATATATAGTGGAAGAAAATCAACTTTCGCAACGTTACTAAAAAAAAAAAAAAAAAACTCGCAACGTTTTGCAAATGTCTAATCTAACTAAGCTACCTAAACTTATGGAATTGAAGTCTCAGGAGTTTCAAGATCTTGGATTTAATTCTTTCAAAGAAGGAATATTCTTTCTATTTCTTCTACAGGATGATGTTTTAATACTCTGCATTTCACTATTTGGTTTGTATACGGCTTTGCTCTTTGGTTAATTAAATCTACAACTCCATTGTAATAATTCTGCTTGATGGTAAGTAAAAGAACGCACCAAATTTCGAGAGACAGCGGCTGTAAACTTCACAAGAGAAATCTCAAGTGGGAATATTGCGCAAATCCAGTTAATGCCTTTTTCACAATGTTTCTTAGTATTATTTACCGCAGTATGAGAACCAGAGTAGACCTATAGAGTAATAGGTATGGTTTGGACGTTTGAACCCTCTATTTGTATTTAAAAATTATTGAATAATATATAAATATTTAATTAGAAATTCAATAACTAAAAAGTTGTTTACCCTTCTCCTTTTTGAGTACTTAGAATTTCTTTTGGATTTTTTGTTCTTCTTCTTCATTGCTTGGTTCTATCATAGTGTAGCGGTTGCCCGAGTCCCCAACGCAACTCCCCGCTTCAAAGAGTAGGTCAGGGGCATCTGCATGTAGATATCGTATTTTGAGCGCGAATGGCGTAATCACTCGAAGGGCAAGTGAGGCCCATTAACATGGTGAGTGCTCTTCCCAACCGAACTTACTTACATATTCAACCGTTTTTCTCTAAATCCTTCTCTTTCTTTCATAGGTTTGCCCAAGACCACTGACTCCAGGAATTGGACAAAGACGAGGCTTCGTCCTCACTCGATAAACCCTCCGCTTTGAGACAGCCTGAGGTTGCTGAGAAGAAAGAGAAAGTCTTCAGGTTCCCTGGTCGTCGAATCCAAGAAGAAGAGGGTAGCGTTCCAAGCCCAGGTACCAGACCCTGACTCCTTCTATCGGCTCAGGGACTATCCTAAAGATGACGACCTAGAGTTCGTTGCCCATGGGCCGACCATTAAAGAAGAAGAGCGGGCGGCGACTCGGGGAAGTGACCAAGAGGCCGACCCCTCA